AGGGTTGGACTAGATGACCCACAGAGGTCCCTTCCAACCCCTACCATTCTGTGATTCTGCCCATATGATAGTTGCCAATGATCTTTGTTGTAAATAATTGAAGATAAGAGATGACCATATTAGAAAATTTTGTGGTTGAGAGAACGAGATAATATTGAAATCCATGCCTAAGAAATCTGTATTTCCTATTTCCTTTCCACAATGATAAAACCACTGTAATTTCACTTATGCCAAAGTAGGGGGAATAAAAAAAAGTTTAAGCTGTGATTTCTCCCCGCCCCTTACAGAAGATACTCTAAACTGAAAATGCCTGATCTGAAACATCTTTAAATGTTTAAAAACACACTCAATACTACTTAGTTAAAATTGTTAAAGTGTGTCAGAAAGGCATTTTAAGAGGGAATTGATGAAAGTATTAAAGTATGTGTTCAGAAAGTTACCACTAAGCTGAAGGTACTCACACTGCAAACAGCAGTAGGCACTGAGATTGCAGCTATGCAAAAAAAACCTTAAGGACTGAAAATTATTTTATGAAACATAAAATTAAATGCAAAGGCTTATAGTGTAGTTAATTTGCTTTTCCAGTAGTTGCTTTTTAGTAGTGGTATGAGGTAATGGTTAATGCAGAAATTCTGTAGAGCATAAAGTAATATCTAGCCATGTTCACTTGCTTTGTAGCACCAGAAATCTGATATTAAACACGTTTGGTAGTGTATTTTGAAGCGATGTTTTCAGTAAGTGTGTGTTGTGTAAGCTGATGTTTTCAACTCTTTCTCAGAGCGCTGGTGTATGTGTAGAAATATACAAACTGGTTGGTGGTATTTGTTAAGCAGAGACTTCCAGAAATTCTGGACCACTGGATCAGTGAAACATCAAGGTTTCTAACAACTCATCAGGCACTGTTGTTTCACTGGTTTTTAATTTGAAAAAAATTAGTAGTGCCGGGTAGGTACTGCTTTCTGTGCTCTTGCTGGCTGCCTGTGGTCACCTGCTGTATTTGGAGACAACCGCTCCAGAATCTGCTGCCAATTATATTTGTATGCCTGCAGCTATTTTGTTGTTTTCATAGGTATGATGTGCACTAAGCTTTAGTTATGCCTTTTTTCCCTCCCATAACTTAATTCAAAAGCTTTCATTAATATTATCCTTTTGTAAGTATGACTATGATTTCATTCACTACTTAAATTTCATTCCATTAACCAGAAACTTGGTCTTCCCAATGCAAAAGGTAAATTTATCAAAGAGTAATTTCAATGTTTATGGTTAGCTGGCAAAGTGAAACAGCTTACCTCCTCAGTTTTGTTCACTGAATGTAAATTAATCCTGAACATCATAAAGTTTGTAAAGATCTGTATCTTAATGGAAATAATATTGGGCACAATTTTCATACAAAAGGGACTACTGGACTAGCAATTTAAGCTAAAATAGCATGTAGCCTCCTGAATATATGATACAATTTTAATAGGAAATACTTTGATTAAAGAAGATAATATTAGTATCAATATTAACATGCTGTATTTCAGCATTGGTATTTTTATACCCTTTCTGTTACAAAGAAGAATTTTAACAAATTTTATTCTTGCTTATTCCAGTGTTGCCCTCAGTATAACCAAGAAGGCTAGAAGGCTCTATCTCCTTACTAATCTCTGTCTTTTTTCTGTTTCTGGAGTGAGTGGAGATTTTGACAGAATTTGTGGAAACAGCATCTGAAGTCTGTGGCAAAAGATTGATTTAATTTTCAGAGGGAGTAATGATTTTGTGATCGAGTGCCAGCTAAGTAGTTAAACCTTTGATAAAAGCTCTGATGTAGCCAAGCATAAGTTGAATTAAACTGTACTTTGCAAAGCTTTTAAGTGTTCAACTAAATCCAGTTGACTTCAGTTTGACTTGAACATATGTGTAAAGTAAAATGTGGATGTATAGGCTTAATGCTTTGTTGAACTGTTTGTAACAATGCTGGTTTGCTAGTTCTGCTCCTTCTGCCGTGGACTTTCCACTAGTGCTGAACGTGTTGGTGACTTGGGAATGAACTGTGGTTTGGAAGCAAGGGGATCCCTGCAGAGGAGGCAAGGAGTAGCCAAGTCTGTGCTGTAGTGACAGGGCTTTGATACTTTTATCGTACAGCTGAGGCAGTCTGTAGTGAAACAGAAGTATGTGCATCTGGCTCAAAAACTTCAGAGTGAAACTTCATCTTGTTGCTCAAAATACTGATGGAACTGTAGGCTCACAACAGAAATGGCAGGAGTTAAAGCTTTATATCTCAAAGCATTCTGCTCTAAAGTTTTATAATTCTGGATTCTGAAAAAGTCACCTGTTCAAAACTCCCCCAGAAACTTTCATTTTGAAGGAAGCCAATAAAATATTCTTTTAAACTATTTTAAATGCTGAGAACATCTCTTCTCATTAAATGTGGAATGAGATACTATCGTGAGACAATATGTTCAGTTAGACTGAAACGTACCTGAGAAATAAAAGAGGAATGAGATTTGGGGTCAGTCTACTGGTTGGTCTAGTGTATTGAATTGCAATGTATGCAGCACACTGAAATGGTAGAATTAGGAAGTAGGGTCAGAAAAATTTAATTAGAGATTTTTACGGCTTGCTTCTTTGTTAGAATTAGCCCACGTGAAGAATAATAACAAAAAAACCCTGTATGTGGCAGGAGATCTGGATGTCTTGATGAACATGAGATACAATTTTGATAAAAATAATCTCACTAGGAACTCTGGGGTTACTGAATTTAATCAGTGAAGCAAATAGATGCAATGGTAGCTCTTTAAAGTCTGGGTTGGGATATCTTGGATGTTATGCTGCTAATTTCAGATTGCATCTGTATGTAAGCAGTAATCCTGGAGTCTCTGCTGTTGGAAGTAAGACAAAAACAATAGGCTGCAGATGAGACCTTTCTTCTGTCGTTTTAACGGGGTCCTCTGATAAGCAGGAGACATGGCCTCCCATGTCTTTAAAGAAGATACTTGTTATATTAGTTTGGAATAGGATACTGCCCAGTCAGTGGCATTGATGTAGATTTCATATTGTTTGTCTCAAGTCCTGCATCCTTTGAGGCATGTGTCCTATCTGCTTTATAATGCTGGGATAGAGCTAGCAATCAACAAATAGAAAGCAAACCACTCTCTCTATGCCTTTCTGACATGTTTTTCTTATTTAACATACGTGAGCTGTTTTTGTTAGTTTGTTAACATAGTAGAACTCTCATTTTAGTTACAAACAACCTTCTGACTGTGATAACTCAGGCTGTTCTATGCTAAAAAATGTTGCCCTTCAAGTTAAGCTACACATTAATTTGAGGCTGCAAAGATGGTAATAATAATGAAATGCCTAGTAAATTATTGTGTGATTAAATTGTGTAAGATGTATTTATGTGGGCCCACTGGTAATACAGTCAATTCTATATAATCAAAATCACCCTCACTTATTAAATTCCAGGCACCAGCACCCTGTGGCTTATGAATTCAAAAAAGAAAAAAGTTGAGCGATTAATCATATTTTGTATTCCACACTGTCTGATATCTGAACTGTTAAGAAAAAAAGGGTTATGCAGACCAATTTGATGCAGCTAATCAATCTTTATTTTTTAAGTGACAGAAACAAAAGTTTGCTTAAGACTGCCCTTTTTTCCTTCAGCTGGAAGTTAATGACAGTCTGTGCTGTTGGCTTTTACCGGCTGCTAGTATGTCAGGAAGCCTTCAGTACTGGGACTTTGTTAACCAGGCTATACGCTAGCCTTTCTGTTTCGCAAGGCAAGTTTCTACTCACTGGAGTAGGAATCATAGCCTCTTCACCAAAACTATATGGATAATTTTTCAATGCGTTGTTTTCAAACAGTTGCTTTGATAGAGCGATTGAAGTGTGGAGGCAGTTCCACTGTGATCTCAATGACCTCTCCCACTGGATAACGGAAGCTGAAGTGTTATTAGCCGATGCCCGTGGTCCAGATGGCAGCCTGGAGCTGCAGAGAGCTGGGCTGCATCAGCAGGTATGTATGATTTGTGCTGAAAATGAGCAAGGTAGAAAAAGTCTAGATTTTTGACTAAAACTCTATTTTTTTTATATAGGCATTTAGATTTGAAATGAGGATGTGCAATTACACTTAAAGTGGTAACTCTTCATTTATTTTTAATTGCAGTTTGAAATGATTCTTGGAAGATCTCAACTCCTGCTTGTAGTATGGGGTTTTATGATGACCCTTTGTATGGATGGGTTTGAGATAATTTGATAACTGAAATATTGGCATTATTTTTGTTGTTTCATAAGTTTCAATACAGCTTTAAGAATAAGTTAATCTGTTAAGAAATCCAGTATATTATTTCACTTTCTACTCACAATTTAAAAAAATGGACCTCAATAATGGTCGGTTATAACCTGGCAAATTATTTTTTTAAATAAATGACTTTGCTTATACAAAGCAGGATCTTGCAATCTAGAAAAAGAGAAGATTCCAATTACAGATGTCTTAGGTTTAGTAGTTTCAATTTCAGTTCTGGAACTTAATTCTCTGATGTCTTTCAAACTCATTATTAAGTAAGAGAAGACTTTTCTGTTTAGCTAAACTACTTTGTTTCCTTTTAAATAAGGAGAATAAGAATAACTTTAAGGATCAGGTTGGTTTTTTTTTCTTTTCTTTTGGGAATAATGGTTAACCCAGTGTTAGGTATGTGTTGATAAAGAAATGTACATTCTACCTAGCATATAGTTTGTATTTTATCTTTGTTGCTGCTTAGAGTTTTCTTCTAGGGCATTTGCCTTCTCTTTCTTGAATCATCTTATTCCTGATCTAGTTGCAAAGAAGTTTTTACTAACAGTGTAAGGTTTTTGTAGTGGTTAGGGATATTTGAAGGCTTGATCCTGACATCTTCTGACTTCCTTTAGTTTCATGGATTTTTCTGTCACATCTGGGGACCATGGCAGAACAGCCATTAATTATCCTAGCTAAAATACTGTTAAGTTACAGAAATAGTCAGGGGCATAGGTTATGAGAAGAACTGTGGAAAAAAAAAGTCATACCATCTGTTAGCACTACTAGAAAGTGCTGTACCTTAACAGGAAAGAAATCAAATGTAAGTGTGGATTGTAGCACTGATGGCTTAAATGAATTCTTGTGATCCTAAGTAGTATTCAGCAGCCTATTCTGTGACATTATCTTTTTATGACACTCATTGGAAAATTGAACTAGATTCAACCCCAGACTCTTAATAACTTAAATCAACAGCATCCGATTTTAAGTAAGATAGCTTTAAGTGCCTGTTTTAGGAAAATAATATGCACCCAGGATTCATCCTGCATATTATGAGCCACAGATCAAAGTCACTTTGGGTTAGTAACAAAATTTTTGTTGGCTTTTATGTTTGACAGGAACTTGAAGAGGGAGTCAGCAGCCATCAAACCAGTGTTTCAGCATTGAACAGAACTGGGGAAGGGATCATACAGAAACTGTCTGCTACAGATGGGGGCTTCCTGCAGGAGAAGCTGGCGGGATTGAACAGGCGCTGGAAAGCAATCACCATGGAGGTCATGGATAGACAACAGAGGTAATAAGTTAATCAGAAATTTGAATGTCTGACCAGATGTGATGAGGAAAATCTCATTTAGAAGGTTGTGGGAGAGACAGTGCATTCTATTGCACACCATCATTAATCTGAATTTTCCTGACATTCAGACCTCTGAATGCACCTCCAGGTGACTGCTTAGTGAGTCTGTGTTTAACACAACCCACCATATGACAACCACAAAACTTCTTTTCTTACAGTTTTCCTTTCTTTTTAAAATCATTTCATTGCTAAGCCAGGCTTTTTTAGGATGGAATACTCAGCTACTTTCTCTGGCTGAAGCTGAACTGTAAGTATATTACCTTGATCTCTGTTTTTGTGTTGTCAAAGATACATTAATTAAAACAGTTGTACTGTTCTTGAATTTTCACAGTACTATAAAATAAGATCTATAAGTCTGTTTGCAATGATTTAATCCATCTGACTATATATTTTCTGAACAAAATGAAAATCCATTTTGAAGTAGCCTTGAATTTATTTCAGATGAAAGAGCAAGGTTGTCTGAGATAAATATACACATTTTCAGCGCATCTGGGAATATAAGATCCCCTCTCTGTTCTTACTGCTAAAAAATGCGTAAGGCTAAATCCCTGGAATGGATAGCTATTTTTGGAGGCTATTCATGCAATTATACATTTTTAACATCTGCTGATACGTTTAGAAATGTAATAAGATTTTTCTTAATTATTTAGTTTGAGAAAGTCCATTAAAGCTCTGTGTGATCTAGGGAATTTTTCCCTTGGAGGGTTTAGGGACATTTCTAACACTTTCACTAACGGTGGCTTTGTAGTGGCTTACAGTGATTAGGCCTAAAGGTGTTGTCATTACTGTCACTTATGTTTAATGTTTTCTGCAGACTTTCAAAAGTCTATTTTGTGACTTTGGAATGAAAATTATCTATTTTTAAGGTTGTAGTATAAATTTGCAGGTATCTTGCATTTTATTAATGATGACAGAATCCTTTGAATACCAAAATGAATCCTTTAAAATGCTCCAACCGCTGAAAAACACGTGACTCTTCCATCAAAAGTAACGTAGGACTGACATACGGTGTTCACTGCAGAAATGCATGCAGATTTTTTGTTTTCCTTTTTAAGGCTAAAAGGAGAGAATCAGCAGCTAATAGAGTACATAAAAAAGGTTGATGAGCTGCGTTGCTGGCTGGAAAATGTAGAAAATGCTCTGGACACAAGATTTACATTCAGCCATGAAGAAAACTTGCGAGAATTACAGGCAAGATCCATTAGTGTGTATATGCGTATGCAGATGTATATGCTTTTGCAGAGGGAAATTTTCACATTGTAAATAGCCAAAGGAATATTATGGTTGTGTGAAATTGCTTACGCAGGCAAGATATATCTTGTAATGAAGGTGGGGTGAGTTGATAACTATGTTATCTAGTCAGAAGATGGTGGCTATTTATTAGAAATTGAGAAATATATGTACTACTGATAAAATTTAGTAAGTGGAATTTCACTGAAGATGATGTTCCCCAAGTCAACTTTAAAATTGTCAGAACTTTAGCAAAAAGCCGATAAGCTTAAAATGGTAAATAAGCACCATTGTCCCATTTACTGGGCAGCTTTCATACTTTGTGTAAGATTTTGTTTAATCTGCTTTTCAAGCTGTAAGGGTTTTGGCTGTTTGAAGTAACTTGGGTGCATATGTATGCCTGTATTTTTGCTGTTTACTTTGTGTCTGGCTTTGACAACAAAATGTCTGGTTTGTAGGATGTGTGATAGAGAATGTTTCTGGAATCCTATAAGAATGGAAGTTGTAGTCAATCCAACAAACCCGCTTGCTCATTTATTAAAAATTAGTAATTTAAAACAAACAAACCACCTCTGTTAGACCAATTCAGGTGGAAAGGCTTGAACTTCCAACAAATGTGTATAAACAGTGTAAAGTAGTTACAGCTGTGTTTGCCTAAACAAATTGTCCGTTGAGTATTGGCTGTCTGACTGTCATGAAAGTTTAATTTTTCTTGTCATCTGTCTTAATAAAGATGCCTGAAGTGAACGGTAGAACTGCAATAAGGGGGGAAAGAGCACAATTTGCTAGAGAAACACTGGTAGGCAATTATTAAGCACCAATTTTACCCTGTGAAAGCAAGAATGTGTGCGCAATTTTGGTTATTTATATTAAGGAAAGGTGAGTTTGCAATGGAACAGGTACTGAGTAAGATTGCTGGGCTGTTCAGGAGGGTGAAGAGCTCCTCATCTGCAAAGAAACTTGAAGCTTGCCTTGTTTTGTCTGGTCAAATAAAGAACAATGAGAAGGGATATGATGATGAGAATGAGAATGCATAGGGAAGTTGAGCTATTAGTAAAGGCCGGTATTCAGGAAGTGGGAATAACAGATGTTAACGGATCACTCAGCGATAAATATGTCCTGCTAATGACAAGGAGATTTCTAAATAGAACTTCTAGAGCAGTCTCCAATTAAAAAGGATATAACATGTTTAAAAAAGTAATTCTTTTAAGGTAGGCCCTTGAAAATTTAGGACAGGCACTATTTGGTATAGCAGTTATTGTAGTGGGGTACTCTGTTCAGTGATCTCCCTTCCAGGCGTGTGTTCCTGTCACTTTACTATGCACACCTCCATAATACGCCTGTAACAGAGATTAGTTTAAATATTGGGCTGGATAAATGTGATGTGTGCTTGCTACTGTAATTTTTTTATTCCAGTGCTCTAGATGCAAAATATCTGATTCCTACTCCACAATGCTTGTGGTCGATGGGCAAATGATAGTACAGTTGATTTAAAGGCAGTGGGAAACCAAGCATAAGCTGCTTTTGTTTTTGCAGGATCTGGCCTTCACATTTAAAGAGAAAGAAGGTTATAGCAGGTTGATCAAAATGAAGTTGTAATGTCATGTTTCATTTTTAAATACATTTAGAGTACATTTCCTTAAGAGTAAAGTGCCTTGTAGTGATCTACCATGTACTTGCATAATGCACGTTAGGAGTGGGCCTGTAGTGGTTTTTTTTTATATTTTTAGAAAATAAATGCAGGCAACAATTTTGATTGACAACCTGTTGCCTTTGGACACATATGGTACATCCAGAGGTGATCAAACAGAAACATCTTGCGAGATGAGAATCTGTATGCATGATATGAAGCTGTATGTGTAGCTTGGCTATTTGCAGTTGTATGGTTTTTTGCCAGTTAGCAATAAATGTTGATATTTGAATACATGTTTAATTATTATTTAATGAATTAATTATTAATTTCTAGATAGAGCATAGAAACCAAACCAGAAGCTTTTCTGTTATACATTTCCAGAGAAATTTCTAAATATTGGAGTTAAGGAAAGCTCCCCCCTACATTTACTTAAGATTGTATGCATTTTCCTTCAGTCTAAACTCTTCTGTCCCTTTTAGGTCTTAAATGAAGAGATGGAAATACAGGGTGACAAACTGGAATGGCTGAACAGGACTGAACCTGAAGTGCTTTTGGATAAAAACGTTGATCTTCAGGAAAAAGACAAACTTTCCAGTTGCCTACAGTCCCTCAATATGAGGTGGAATAAGGTGTGCATTTCTTCCGCGTTGGGTACCTGAAGTTGAAAATATAGTAGTGTACTCAGAGTGGTTGTTTTTCTTTCTGTGTATCTGTGACATTCCTGCACGGCTTCTAAGATATTTTATCTATGTTCAGGAAATGTGCCCCAATCCATGTTTGTGTGAAAACACTGGTGGACATTTTTCCCTCAGAAAGAGTTAGTTTAGCTTACGTTTTTTGTTGATTTTCTTTTGTATTGGCTTTGTTTAGATAGCTGGGTCAAAAATATTTCACTTATGTACCAATTTGAATTTGAGAGTGTCAAAATAAATCTTTGCTGTATAGGGAACTTGGATGTTTGTAGATGTTAAGAGGAAAACAGATGAATCTGTGGTAAAGCTTAGTGAGAAAATCTTATCAAGTGTGTCTGGAATTCTTCTGGAGTATAACTGCTGTAAATTAGAAACTCTGGTGTTCAGTCTCACTGAATCATAGAATCATAGAATGCTTTGGGTTGGAAGGGACCTCTACAGGCCATCTAGCCCAACCCCCCAGCAGTGAGCAGGGATACCTTCAGCTAGACTGTGTTGCTCAGAGCCCCATCATTGGTAAGTATTTGAGAAGAAAAGAATTCGCTGGTTGGTGGAAAACCAGATTTTTTCCAAGCGGAGCCTGGACACCCAAGTGAAAAAGAAATAGAATTATTTGGGACTATATTATGTATCAGGGCCGTAAGAATTTATTGAAGAAAGCAGTGTTTGATAGTTCAGAGAAAAAAAAAAGGTCTGTTTTTACCTACTTGGCCATAAAAATAGGTCTCGCCCCCCCCCGTATATTACATTTGCATCACTGCCTTTTAAAAACTTTTAAAAAAGAAGGCAAATTTGTCTGCGCTACAATAGAGTTTAGCAGTAACGTTTTTTTATTTTTAAATTGATTGCCTGTTTTTCTACTTTCCTGTCATGGATGACCACAAATCATGCTTTGCATTGTCTTTCCTTCAAAGTGTACTCAAATAATGAGTCATAGCTCTGATGCTTAGGCAGTAAAAAACACGTAAACAGCCTGTCTACAACAGTTCATTTATTTCTCTCCAAGATTTAGCTAAGACACTGGAACCTATTGAAATACCACTCTGAGCACCTCTTGGCATTTTTATTGTTTTTAAATGATACCTTGAAAAAGTTCATTGAAATATATCTGAGGCATGCCATTGTAGCAAGCATGGTGTAGAATATTTTGTCTTCTAATTAGTGATTACTTTTTTGCTGTTAATGTAGGTTGGTTTACTGTTTTTATTCCTCTCTCCTGGGCTGTAGGTGTTTAGAGAAGTGCCTGACAGAGTGAGAGAACTGAAGGCATTTGTTGGGCAGTCTCATCTTGTTACACAGACAAAGCCTTCTGGTGAGTGACCAGTCCTTCTGTTGTACTTGATTGTATTGAGTTTAATCCTGTTTGTGATCAAAAATTATCCAAAGAATAAAACATTTGCTATGAGTTTAAACAAGTGGAAATAAGAAATGTTGTCCATCGCTGTACTTGGGGCTACCTTCATGTTACTATGGGAGAGAGATGGAACGTTTGGATAGGGAAAAAGTCACTCTTCAGGATTGGGGGAGTCCCCTAAGAGTTTTGAAATGGAGGAATGTTTTAGTAAAGCTTAGGCCTCTTCACTGGTAACCAGTGTACTAGGTATAGAATAAAAATAAAAATAGCTATTTTTGTGACAGCCTGACTTCCTGTGGATTTGTGCCTTAATTAAGATCCACTAGATTTTTTTTCCCTACAGCTAATTATTTGTAAGGTATCTCCTGCATGTAGGTTCTCTGCAGTCCTATAATAAAGGCCGTTGTGTGTCTTTCAGCTTGACAGGGACACAGATAGGTCTTTCATTTGCTAGACACTTATCTTCCTGAATCTTGTAGGGGAAACTGTCTAAATATGATACGTTTTTGTATCAGACATTGACACTGGCCATCTCTTCAAGTAGTTGGAGGCAGATCCAGAGTGTAAACAAGATGCCCAGGTCTCCTTTTTAGAAAACTGGGTAAAAAAGACAGCCCTGCCTGAAAGAATTTGTGTCTTGAACTTCAGTAAATTAACTCTTTATTAACTCTTTTTTTTTTTTTTTTTTTTTTTTTTTAAATTCAGCATCAGTAAACAGGATCTAAAGGAGGAAAGCCAACTTTTGTTTAAGCCTTCCAAAACCTTGATTCAGCTTGTTTTCATTTCATACAGGGTGTTTGCTAAGTAAAGCTCCTGTATTTCATTGCTTGAGGCAAGCGTGTAGTATTCACACTCCAGCTTGATTTAGCTTAGTGTTTTCTTGGAACTAGAACATGACTAAACACAGTTTCTGGAGTGAATCTTAACTGTTCAGCTCATTCCTCAATGCTTTGCAGTGTCACGTTAAAAAGATAGAAAGTACGGGTCTGAACTGGCAGGCATCTGTCCCTCCTTAGAACAGTTGTATATTGCTAAGTTCATGAAGCATCTGTTGCAGTAGCTTGACTGACTTGTGCTTCAATGAATTCTGAGCCAAGAGTGGGGAAATCCTTTCTGCCACATAATAAAAAAGCGAGGAAGATAATTTCAGACACTTATCTTAAACAAAATGTTTGTTTTTCATGCTTAATAGAGGCCAATTCCCTTTCATGTTAAAGAGTGTTTAGCTCTACTCCATTAGATTTAATTTCATTTTGCCTCTGCAAGTTTTCTTCTTGTTTGTTTTTTATTTAGGCTGAATCATTTGGGTGGGTCTTTGGCATGCAATGAAATAATTAATAGCCTTGAAAAAAAAGAAAAAAGGAATTTCTGATTACTTAGTTACTTATGGTTAAAATGCCTCAAATACAAATTTTGCTGTACTTTCACTGTAGATGCTGTTGCATATTTATACGAATTACAAAAACCCCTGTAATTCCCACAGTTGCACTTGTGGCCGTGACTATTTTTCTTTAACAAAAACCCCAAACTCTCTTTCAGATGTCCAAAAGGTGGTGCTAGTTTCTTCTTCATTGGAAATTCCTGTTCAGGCTCAGCAGGCTTTGGAACTTTCTGCACCTGCTGATCTGGATAAAACTATAACTGAGCTGGCTGACTGGTTGGTATTAATTGACCAGATGCTCAAGTCAAACATAGTCACCGTGGGAAATACTGAAGAGATCAATCGGACTATTGCACGAATGAAAGTATGTGTTTTTATGAGGGCTAGAGGATTGGAAAATTGGCTCCCACTTCAATAGCTTGCATGTTCAGTAAAGAATTACACGTATTTTAGAAAAAAAACCCCTGACTGCAGTAAATGCACAACTTGAAAATTACACTTTCAATACTGTCATTATTACACTTCTCTCCATTGTACAATTTCCTGTTTCCTGTGTCCCTGTGTGAGCTAGGCACTGTTATGTTTGCTTTAAACAAAGCATATAGCTCCTGAAAATGGCATTTTTTGGGGGAATGTACAGACAGCTTATGCTGAAGACTTAGGAGCAGCCTCATATTTGCTTGGAAGGTGACCTTTATGATCCAATCTGTAGTGGTTTCTAATGAGTTTTGTTCTACTGTAGTTACACTAAACTGATTTTCAGAAACATGCTAATATCATTAAAAGTTATAACATAAAAGCTTATGAAGTAAATGTTTGTTTCTGTTGATAGCTCCTGCTATGCTGAGCCATGACTAAGGGCAGAATGTGTGAAATGTGTGCTACCATTAAGGTTCATTTTATTTGACTTGATATCAATTAACATGAGTAACTGTAGAGTAAAAGCTGCAGGCTAAACAAGTGCTAAACTGTTAATGTGGGTGTCTGGTGTAATCTGGAATTAGAAAGAATAATGTGATGTACAGTAACTTTAAAACACTTTCTTTTAACTGTATAATACTTGTAATATTCACTTCTGGTACATTGCCATAGTAAAATAACTATGTTTTTTATACAAGATGTAGTCTGATTGTTCCTCTCCATTCTTTTCTTTCTTTATCTCTCTCTCCCTCTCCCTGCACCCCCAAGAAAAAAGATTAGAACTTGATAAGAGAAAAGTAAGTTATGGGAGAGCAAAAAATAGATATTGGAAAATGTTGTGCAGTGACTATGGTAACTGTGTGATTTGTACAGGTTAACCTTCACGTCTAGATTTTCAGTAACTGTATTTCAGAATATTTTTGCTATTTAAAGCAGTGCTACAATACCGTGACAATTCAAAGGTTACAATAATGATGGGAACAGCCATCTAATTGTGGTGACATGTTATCTGTTTTATCTACAAACAATACAGATGATATTAACTAAATTCTGCTTTTTGGACTTAAAATTTATATCCTAATTCTCAACAGATAACAAAGGCAGATTTGGACCAGCGGCACCCTCAGCTTGATTCTGTTTTTACATTGGCTCAGAATCTGAAAAATAAAACTTCCAGTTCAGATATTAGGACAGTGATCACAGAAAAATGTAAGTTTCTCTGTTGTGTGTTTGCAAATACAAAGTTTCCATGGCAGTAAAAAAATCTTCATATCTTTCCCTTACACTCTTGATCTTGAGCCTAGCTGAAGTTATTTTCCTTGAACATACCGAAAACTTAGCAGTTAAGTGGCTTTAACTCTTAACAGTCTAATTCCTGGAAGTTGTTTTCTTGACTGGCCATTTTTTCAAGTGCAAAGGTAAATATTTTTGGTGGCATTTCAAAATATGAAGAATTTGAGTTACCGAACAGCCACAGACCCCAGGGATAAGGATTTTATTTATTGATAAAAGGAACTAATCGTGTAACTTTATTTTTGTTGATCTATGATGCACTGGGCAGTTAGCAAAAAGCACAAATGTATTGACTTAGAACACAAACTTTGTGTACATACTTTTGAGCTCTACTACATACTGCAAAATTGATTTTCCAGTTTAAAGGTCCCCACCTCCTTTGAAAATTTCTTTTACTGGTACTTAAGGAAAGAAAGTGTACAACTGACACAATTAGAAAGTAAGGGACAATGTATTCTTTGAACTCTTAAACTTTGCCAGTTGCTAAGATTATAAAATCCATGCAGCAGGAAATATCATAATTAGAAGTAAAAATGGAAAGATATATTTCCTTATCTCCTCTGTAATGTAGTTTTCCTCTACTCCATCTATGTTGTGGTTTATTCTTCTTGTATTAAGTTCTTCTCTTACTAAATCCAAAGCACAGCAGCTACTGGGAGAAATACTAACTCTATCCTAGCCGAAACCAGGACATGCTACAACAATACTTTGGTGTCCATAAGACTTGCTGGAGATAACTGGGTCAGATAGAAGGCCCACAGAAATGTTAAAGGGTCTAATGAGATGGCGTTCACTGTCTAAGATTCACAGGAGCTATGGATTGGTAGGGGAGTAAGATCCAAAGAGGCTAAAGCAATGTGTAGGGCCTGAGTTTTGCAGCCACTCAGATCTAGGAGTCAGGTCGAAACCTGGGATAGGATAGTAACTGTATAGTCCATGGGAGTCAGTCAGCAAGGGGAGATCTGGTCAGTCACAAAACATTCTTGATTCTTCAAAGAAAATGAACAAGGAATAAAGAAACTATGTTGAAAATCGGAGTTCCCCTATAGTCACGCCCATCCAAGGCAGATACCCTAGATGTGTGTGAAGATTTTGCTACCTGTCATGAAACATGAAAAACCTGACGGTTTTGTTGCTACTGATATTTATAAAGAAAAGTTTGCTCTGAAGAAAAGTGAAGCTCAGGACTGCTTTATGCACCTTGTTAGTTAAACACCGAGGGGAATATACCAATATCTTACAAACACCTGTGAGCCTGCTGTACATTGTTAGATGTAGCCTAAGAGCTCAAATAGCTAGGAGCACAGAAACAGAGAAAAGCTTCCTTCTCTGGAACTTCCCTCCCAATTACTGCATGGACATCAGCAATTAAAAGTCTCATCAGGAGTTCTTTCCAAACTTTCTGCCTTTGATACCTGGTGCCCCAGCACCTTTTCCTGGGAACCTACCTATTGAACCCACTGAATGCTGAGGTTACCAGGAATTTCGCTATTTCTGTCCTCTTGGTGGAGACTGAAGAGAGGAGAAATATGCCAACATTGCAGAGAGTAAGGTTAACCTGGCCATAAATAGTGAAAAATACACCAAGAAATATTCTTTCTATAATAATAGTAATACTATGTAGACATCAAATATCTGTCCATTTCATCCAAGTTGCTATTGTAGGCAGCTGTTGCTCAGGGACATTTTTTCTTTCTTTGTGGGGAGAGCTTAAACACTAAAGAGTTTTTTCTCTACAGTTCATTAGCCAGTTCACAGGGTTATAGTATTTTTTCACTCCTGCTGTTTTTACTTTTGTTGTTTTGGTGAAACCACTGATCTCTCCCAGCAGCTGCTAGTTCACTGTGAACATACTCTTCATCCAAAAAAATAATATATTTTTTTTTAAAAAAAAAGAAAAACCGTATTATTTCTTGCTGTTGGGGTACTGAAGCTTTCTTCTAAGTTCTCATTCAGCACGACCTACATCATGCCTGAAAATTAATCCAAAAGTTGCCTGTGGGTTGAAATTGATGAATCTATATTGCACAGATCACTGGGTTTGTCCACCAGTAATACAGTTGCCCTGACGGACGGGCTTCACTGCCACAGTCTTTGAGAAAGTTGTGAAACTAAACAGAATGTTGTTGAATGTATAAAAGAAATCTTCCCAAGCATATCAAGGATAATGGCCTTATATACTTGTAGAAGGTTAAAAAAAAATCTTCATGGAAGATTGATCTGACCTGAGTATCAAGTGTGTTAATTTTCTAATAAAACTTGCTGTTACCTGTTGCTGCTCAGAGTACAGATATACTCAAGAAGTCTAGCTTAGGTTTTTTTGTTTGTTTGTTTTATAGTTGCTTTTTTACTCTTTAGTTCTAGTGATGTAGTGTGTACCCAATAACTGTCATGACAGGTAATAAGGAAACATGTTTCCACCTCTTTTGACTTTCAAGTAATATGCTTTCCTAGGGAAGGCAGGCTTACTGCTTTCCCTGACATACTGCTTTTTGTCCTAGGCTCTTGTCATGTTGTCTTTTTCACCCTTTATTTATTAAAGGTTAAAGCTTGTTTATTGATCATCTAATGTAACTCTATTGAGAGAGGAATGGGATACTTGAAGGAAACAGGGTGTGATCAATAAGTTCTGTTCTGCTGTGTCATCTACATAAGCCTGTAGAAACCTGTGGTGGAATGGAAGTACCAAAGTAGGTTGTTACTGAGTGTTTCTACCTTGGGCAAAAATTTTAATGCAGATGCCACTAGACTGCCTTCAGCATACAGTGGTCTGGAAAGCTTAGTTCACTTTGTATAGGCTATCCAGATCTATTTATTTCTTTATTTGTTTATTTGTACTAGTTTAAGTTGCAGATATAGCCATCACCCTAAAACTGTGATCTTTGGAGCCCTGCTGCTGGCACACTTTGACAGTGCAGCTGAGGCAGATTTGCCTCCCACATGTGTGTACTTAAAAAGTAAAATAATGCCTTTGAAATATTCCAGACATAACAGTTGTTACCTGTATGCTGATCTGCTGAAACAAGAGGTAGCCAAACACCTGTATTTTTGTTTGCTTGTGTGAATGTGTAAACTGCATGGGGAACTAAAAAAACCAAACAACTATTACTGTTTTTTGTCCTGAGAATTAAGTGCTGGTTATGGCTACTTGTTTGTTTGCCTCAGATTTTTCATATTCTGTATTGTCCTCCACAGTGGAGAAGCTGAAGAACCAGTGGGACAATACTCATCATGGCGTGGAGGTACGGCAGCAGCAGCTGAAGTACATGCTGACAGACTGTGTGCAGTGGGATGAGCAGAGGCAAGAAATGGAGCGCCTCATGGAGCAGTGCGAGATCCGTCTGCGTATGCTCCTGCAGGCCCCAAAAGAGATGCTTACCAAACAGATTTCAGACAACAAAGTAAGACCACCTACATCTGTTTTTTCCCTATCAACTCCTCCGTCTATGTAATGCTATTTGATTCAATTGATGTGCAAATATACAATATAGATGTAGGATTGATTTAGCAATTCTGTCTCTCTTTGGGCGTGATATATTCTAAATTGTTTCCATTTTCTTATATATTTGACTTCCTGAAAATTGCATTCTGGGAGGGAAGCAGGTGGCATGTGTGTATGTGTGTCTTTTTGTAAGTGTAGTTGAAAGGAGTATGGTGTAGCATCAAATAACAATGTTATGCAAAAAGCTTGAACCTCAGACCGAGAAAAGTTTAATCATACAGCCACAGAATGTAGCATGTATTACTTCATAGAAACCCATTAACAGTAGTTTAGTAGATCCAAGAATGGACCAAGTTATTTAAAATTATCCTGAATTTCACTTCTGGTGGGTGCCAGGTGTATTAAACACGCTTTTTTTTTTTTTCCCAATCCCATGCAATCTTCACTGTTTTTCACATCACAGCAAACTTGCTGTGATAAATCAATGTCTGTTGTTCTTTGTCCTGGTGGCTGTCAGAAAAAGGGCAGGCTGTAGGTGGCACAGGATGAGAACTAAAGAGACAAATCAGCAAGGAGGGGCCCTTAGTGCAGTATTTAGAACAGGGCTATAATAGTTTAAAAAATAGTTTAAAAAAGGGTGTGTGTATATGCATATATCCATGAAGCGACAACACAGGGTTGCAGCTGAGTGTGTAAAGAAGCGGGGAGTATGATGGTGAGAATTCCTCACTGATCCATAGGTATTTCAGTAAACGGTAAAATAGCACGCTTTTCATCGTCTTTCTCTACATGAGCAGGGGATTGGAAATGGACTATTAGGTCTGCTTTGCTTTCTGAAGTGAAAGTAAGCTGATGCTCAAACATATAGTACAGAGATCGTAAGATACAACTGGACATATATATATATGCAAATATTCTTTTTTCAGTTAGAAACAATGCTGAGTTCAGGATTTTGTAAAGTCAAGGCACCTTATGAATATACTGTTGCAACAAGCAAACACTTTTAATGTATTTTCTTCATTTAAAAGCAAAAAAACCCACAAAGCAATGAAATCAAATTCTCATGCTATGCACTCGATTTATGCCGCTTTTCGCTGCCGCATATATCACTATTATCATAATACAAACTCATTTATGCTACTAAAAATATGAAAGTGCTTTTACTTCTGTTGCCTGTAAAACACAGAAGAGGATTTTTCTAGCTTTTGGCAGTTCTGGCAAATATAATTTTTCCTCATCTATTTGTGTTTTTGTTGGTTTATTGTCACAACATTTAGTATCTGTAGGTTTTCTTTTCAAGATTTTTCCTCTAGCTAAAAAATACACACTTTTTTTTAGAAAAAAGGGAAAAGGAGGATTTTTATAGTATGACAGAATGCATAATATGAAAAATAATCTGATTTTGATTTTACTCTGTCCCATTCTTAAATTGCTTTTTAGCTGTTAGTACAGGATTTGCATAGAGGCGACATAACAGCAGCTGCATTCAATGATCTTTCTAATAAACTTCTTCGAGAGTATCGTGCTGATGACACAAGGAGGGTGAAGGAAATCACTGACCAAATGAACACTTGTTGGGTTAATCTGAACCAAAGGTAATTACAATGTTTCACTCTATATGTAGATGTTTGTATGTTAAACTTGTGTCTCATGTACACTTGTGTATTACAGTCTCTCTGTCTACTTTACAGCAGCATTTGGGGCTACTGTGCAAATTAGTCAATTACAGTGAGGGTGCTTTGAGTTTTGATGATGGAAATTCCCACAATTAAAAATGGAAGGCTTCTGTATGACTTCCTATTTAAGTAGTGGTTTTTTTTTTAAAGGGGTTGAGGGAGAAATACTTCTGTCATGTTTGGTCTCAGGTTTGCCTGTTGCTAATCTTCTCCAAGTGTCTTTGAACAGTTCCTCTCCTGTTCCTTGATGCTGGTGTGCTTTATGTCTTTGCAGTTTGTTGCTGTGCTTTCTTTTCATAAGGCTGTAAGTATTCAGCTTAGTCTTCCAATGCATTACTTCTTTATCTAACAGATACTTTCCCTGAATGGAGCTGTGCTTTGCATTCCTGAGTGTGATGCTTCTAGTCCTCCTGTCTGGAAGATACTTGAGCTGTAGGAACTGAGACTTACTTGAAACTCACTTCTTTCTATTCATCCTCTATTAAGACACATTTGAAAATATGTCTTAATGAAAATACTGTATTTTCCTGTGCATAATATTCTTTCCTGCAAGGTAATCTAATCTCTGTAAAAATTCTTTTTAGTATTTGATAGACAATTAACATTTAGAATAATGTCCAACTCCATGCCTGCAGCTTAAAGGACAATATGCTTTGTGTCTAGAGGGACAGAACAGAAGATTGATCCTTTGTATGTGGGAGTGGGGGAGATGACAACCAAAGTGTGTATGTGTGTGTGCATATATGTGCATGTAAAAGGGCCAACTGCATTTGTAATGAGATGTCAATTAAGGGAACAAAAATCCTAGGTAATAAAGCCTCTGAAGTTGCTGTTGTATCCTGGGGAGTGAGAGGAGGAGAACTTTGCAGTGGCAAGAAGTAGGTAATGAAGCAAGCAGAGTAGAGTGTCATCTTATCCTTCTTTGGAGGTAAATGGTACTTCCATCATTTTGCACTTGTGATGTGGCAGCTGGCTTCCTGGTTATGTTCATTGAGAGATGAGGTACAAAATAGGCTCAATCCATGTGATCATTTGAGAGAGAATAAAAATTTGTTAATCTCTGAATGTTTTGAGACATAGGATAGGATTTTTCAATTGAATAACATTTCAAAATTATTCTGTGTGATGCAGACAACTTCTTTTCATGGTTCTTCAGAAAACTTCCAGTAGAATGTGGGAAAGGATTTGGCATATGACAAAACTTTCTTGTCTTTTTACTTTTGCTTTTTCTAAACTAGGTCTTAGTCATGAGGTCATCTCCTGAAATGGCTCTTCCTGACCATTCATTTGCATTAAGATTAGGGACTGCAGCATTTTTGCCATCAGATTGTCCTTTATTTTCTCAAAGTAAACTAATGATTTTTTAAGAAATGCCATTAAGTTCATGTGAATGTCATGATGACATCTAGGGATGAAGATGCAATTAGAGGGTGAGGGGAAACAGCCCCTTGTTGGATTAGCAGTAACAGCTGACTACAGCTATGTAGTAGTCTCATTCACATGCAAACTTTGCAGTGTTTTGGCTAGAACTGGTATAAAGCTGCCCACCATTCAGAGCAGGTGACCAGAAAGAAGAGCTCCTGTCTGGAAGCCTCTAATTATTTTTGAACCTGCTTAAAGTCTTGGAATAATAAGCAATTCCATTCGTTGTGTAGAACTGAAGCTTCTTGATTATGACTGGGGCTACTGTTTTGCAGTCTGCAGCCTTAAGATGGTGAGTATCTGCTTTGTTTGTTGACTGCGGACAGAACATAAAGAAGAACTCTGAAAGCCGGTGGATAATCAGAGCGTGGAGCTGCTCAACGTAATCCCATGGAGCAACAGAGTAGAATTAAAAGGGGAGAATGTGCAGTGAAAACACCTTTTCAAGGGAATGAAGGTTTTCATACTTGTTTTAAATGCAATAAAGAGAAATACTAGGGAACTTTAAGTGACAAGGCTTATTTCATGTGGCAGATCTCAGGACATGCAGGGGTTGTACACGGAACACACGTGTAGCCCTATGACTTCTGTAACCACAGATCTGTATTTATAGCGTAATACTTCAAAATACCAGTTTGTTCCCATGCTTGGAGGTTGTGCAGGGGGACCTTAGTAACGTCGCCTGGGAGAATCACAGTCCTGAATAGCACAAGAACGTTACCAGGAAGACTGTAGCCATGGCATGTAAAGCTGAAGGAGCTTATTTTAAAACTGTTGGCATTAAGAGATTGAAGCTCCCCAGCCTGACATTGTGTAAATTGGATACTCTGCCCAGTGGCTATTTATGTTCTATTTTTATACTTTAGGGTGAATCTGTAGTAATTCTGTGTGTTTTGGTGTCTCAGTAATGGATTAGAGTAGCTGTCTGTACTGTCTCAGATGTTATTTTCTGACTTTCTTTTGATCACATGCTTGTATGCGTTGCACATTTTTATTTTAAACCTGAAAAAATAATTGGGTGGAACAGATACCTGAAACAGTGCCGTGAAAACTTAAATAGTACAGTTAAAATTTTCTTTTTCTTGGATGTATGTTTTCTAATAGAATCTGCTTAGACCTTCTCTACTATTACTGTGTTAAGTGACCTTAGCTGCATTTGTAAAGGATTCTCCAGGTTCTCCTTCTGTTTAATTCGTAAGTCCTGGAAGGACCCTCTGTCTTTTAAGGATGTTCTGACTGTATTAGAATTCTTTGAAAATCTGAGTCATCTTTTTCTATTATTGGATAGTCGTTCATCTACAGTACAGAATTCTCCATCATTTTCTGTTTTACATTTGTGGCCTTTACTGGAAGGAAGTGAAAGTATTTGTCCGCTCTGTAAAAATGTTGCTTGCTACTGCTGTACAGGTCCGCTTTAAAAGCATCCTTGTAATCTTAGAACATTAGTTGTAAATGTGTTAATTTATGCTGCTGGAGTACGTATTTAGTGAAAGCAATGATTTTTCAGTTTTAATTCTGGTATCATGACAGCAGTGGAACTGTAATAGGATTTCATTCTTTCCTTTAATTTCAAACAAGTGGAAGATTTGAGGAATTAAAACTTTAGGCTGAAGACGACATTCTTCAATAAATGTTATTAGCTGCAAAGTTCAAGTTGTCTCAATTCCCATCTAGTACATCAGTACTTAGACTTAGAGATCTGGGTCACTTGCAGTGTTTCATCCTTTGGGGTTTTTCTTTTTCTTTGAAAGTCACCTGTATTACCAGTCTGTTCTTCCTGTTGTCACTCCTGTTCTTCCACCTTTGGCCTTAACCCCCTGCTAGGGAAGAAAATCCCTGCAGAGCGAGAGGGTTTTGAAGTCAGAGCTCATAACTGCTTTTACTTCACATTTTTTTCACAGTTCCTTGGTGTGCTCTAATTTTTGAGCTGGTCCTTCTTACCTTTTCTAGGCAGTATCTGTCAAACCATTTGCAATCCCCAACATGCTATTTATTATTTTTTCTCGAGAGTAGGTGATGTATTCCAGAGCTTCAAGTGAGAATCAAGAAAGAAGGCTCTTTGCCCTTCTAGTGATTTACCAGTGGCCAAAACTTGGGCAAGCATGAAGTCAGGAAGGATTCACACAGTCTTTTTTTGTGTAAAGCAATTATTAACAAGTGACATCAGGTTTAAGTTTCTAATGTGGGGGTTGAAACACTATCTTTTTGCAAGTAGTCTCTAGAAAATTGATTTGGTTATGCTAATACTTACGAATGTAAGCCTGACAGTTGGGGTTGCATGAGATTTTCTTGCTGCCCTTGCAGGAAAACAGCTTTTCCTTGTATCTGCCTTTACTGACATGCTAGTAAACCAGAATACCTGCTTTGAAACATCATCCTGAATAGTACTGAACACCTGCAGCTTCTTTTTTAAAAAGAGTATTTTAACTACTTTTGAAATTTGTGATTCTAAACATAGTGATTCCCTGATACTGCTGAGCAGTTCTGTTGCCACAGCATGACAAGGAGGAAAAAAAGCCTAAATAGAACAGGAGGAGGCAGAAGACACAGAAGTTTGATGGGCCTGTTTGGAGAAGCGTGTTCAATTCATGTGAAAATATCAAATGCTGAGTGTTTTGGCCTTGTCTTACTTGAAATTAAATATCACTTTACCCCTGAAATCTTACAATATGGTTAGTGCTTGATGTGGAAACAGAATTGAACTTCCTACTTACTTAGCAGCAATATTCTACATGGTAGCTCTGATAGAGATTTATGTACAGTGTGCTGGTGTGGGACAGCTTCCTTCTTTCTTTTGTCCTGATCTTGGGAAAAGGCATACTGCAAAATAACAGCCTCAAATGGGTGAAATTTAACTTGCCATGCTTTAATTAACATTGTTAATGAGAGCTTTTAAAATTGCTCACTGCAACAGTTTCCCATCTGAGTTTCATTTCAATGACAAAGAAACAGTCCTGTGATCCAGAAGTATAACGTATATCTTTTTTCTAGGAAATGTTTTGAAGTTGCTTACCAACAATATAAGCCGAAGGTTTTAAATGAGTTTCTTACATATTAAAATATCCTCTTACAAATAAAAACTTTTGTGTTTGTACCAACCAGAGATCTTTTGGATTGACTGAAAATTTGTATTATATTCTGCCAGTCTCTTTTTAGATTTAAGGATGTTGAACATGTCTTGACTGCTGTGATGGCAGTGTATTATTCTATTTGTTTGAGTGATAGTGTCAAAAGTCTTGTCTTTTAGCAGACAGAACCCGATATTTGACTTTTCTTTCCTCAGAACTTTAACTCTCACAAATTTAGGGAATTGTTTCTGCTTGCTGGAAAAGAGGAAAAAAAAATCCCCCAAACACTTGGTGCTTCTGCTCCATAAGATTTTTGTTGATGGGGAAAAGCATTCACACTTCTCCCACATAGGTACAACACTTCTACCAATTGGGGTAGCAGAGGTCCATGTTGGTAATACTGAAAAGGAAAATCTAGGTTTTTAATGAATAACTTAATTTCTGCCACATGCTTTTTTAAAAAGGGCTGTGAAATCTATAACCAGTTCAGAATATCTGTGTGTAGCCACAGATATAATAACCAGAGAAACAGTGATATAAATAATGATAAAACCAACTGTGATGGATGTAAAGTTTCGTAATAGAGATAACTTTCAGATTTCCTTTTAGTAGTTTCATTATGATGTATGTAATGCTGTACACTATGGGGGACTGTTCTGACACTGTCTCATTTTCAGAGCTGTTGATCGGCAGAATTGCTTGGAGATAGAACTGAAGACAGTACAGGCCTCACACAAGGATCTGGAGAGCTTCCTCAAGTGGCTTCAAGAGGCAGAGACAACAGTTAATGTTCTAGCAGATGCATCCCAGCGTGAGAACACTGCTCAGGACAGTGCCTGTGTAAGGGAACTCAGAAAGCAAATGCAGGTGAGAAACTAAATAATATTGCTGTTATTCCTGCTTTTTCTCAATGGCAAATGTTATGAAGGAAAGCTATCCACTAGAGTGGGAAAACCTGCAGCCCATTGGAAGGTGTTTAAAAAACAGCATTTTAGAACTCAGGTGTGTGAAGGAAGCATATTTTTCTTCCTAAGGTTTGAAATAAATATTTTGTGGACGCTTGTGGCACTGGGGTTTCTTAAATATCCTTGGAGGATGACTGTATTCAAGAAGTGTATACTTCATTAAACCAAGTCATGTTGTGTGATTGCCCATCCAATCAATTTAATCCACTTCCTTCCAAGTAAAGAACCCTCTTGGGCTGCACTGTCTCCAATCCCTTCCTGCCACCTTTTTCCTGCTTTTCCAGCAATCCGATAAGTTTTTGTGCTTGGATCACCTCTCCTGCTGTCCAGCAGCTCCCAGCTGGCCTGCCTTCCTGTACGGGCTACAGACTGGAAATCTGAGGAATAACTGAGCAGGAGACTAACTGGTACCCTTACAGTCCTTTTTAATATATGGACAGCCTAGCTTTTCTAAAATCTAGAAGAGAGATCCCTTCTCCCTGTCTAAGCAGCATGGACTAGCTGAGTACCACGTCGTCTGGCTGTTCCTGCCTTTGCGTATTTCATACATCTCCTTTGGGAAAGTAGGAGGGAGAGAGACGAGCTAGGTCCAGTTTGCATTAAGGATTCAGTACACTGAGGGGAAAACAGGACCAAAGGGTGTGGAGATCTGACAACTCTTTAAAAAATTAATATCCTTGGGTCTGTGGCAGCAAAAGTTTGGACATCACTGGCTAAAAGGATTTTGTGTTTCTGTAGTGTATGAATTTCTTTTGTCCTGTTTACCTGATGTGAACGCTGTTCATGTGTCATCTTTCTCCTGAATGGTTTAGTATTTTTTTTTTTCCTTCAATTAGATTGACTTATTCAGCACAGTTATTTTGATATCCACAGAACTGGGCAGCTAGATCAGTTATTAAATCCTGCACTCTGGGTTTGGAATAATGTTGTCTGTGGTCCAAGTTCATTCAGTTTGAGCAGCTTATAAAGAAAAAAAGTGCTGTTTGCAGTAGTGCTGTTAATCTGAACATATCTACATTGAATTTAAATGAAACAAGACAATTTAAAGTACCTGACAGCAAGCTGCTCACTGTAATCATAAGGAAGAGAACATTATATTGTGGAAGCTTGTGTCTGTTGAAGATGACGTGTCACTCACCAATGTTTATATGATACTGGTCAGTCAGGTAACTTATCTGTAGAGTTGTGGCTTTTTGTGAAATGCTAAGACTAGTGTGTAATGACAACACCTAGAAGTTAATATTATATTTTCTATTGACAAAAACTCCCAAACAAGTAGTGTAGTAAGGGTGAAAGAGTGAAAATGAGGCCACAGGAAGCTAACAACGTGAGGCAGTGCTGTGTGTAAATAAGCTTGTTTCTGGATTACCTTGCACTCCACTTAATCCATCGTACCAAGATGAAGCTGTTATTTCAGAATTTGCTTTTTGGCTCTATGCAGCTGAGAAGAACCTTGGTCATGGAAGACTGTTCGCACTCCTTCAGTGTGCTGCAGTCTGGTTAAAATTGCCAGAGTGGTGATGTGTGAGGGGACAACCGCTGAGCAAGACTGCCTCCTGCGTGGAGAAGGTCTATAACCAGCTCTTGAGCTTGCCCATTGTCCTGGCTTGTAACCATTGAGAAGGCAGATGTAGGTGCTTGGGCATGGCCTCCACTTGTTCAGCATCCCATTTCCTGATATAGCCCTTCTTTTTCAGTGACTCTGTGCTTCTACCCTGTGCACGTGAAGCGTAGTCACTTAACTTAGCAATGACTTTGCATAATATTGTAAGCTTTTTTCCAACTACTGAAAGAAGTAGAGCATGTCAAAGACTCTCATAGGATAATGGCTTCCAAAATGAACTTTTTCCCCCTACCATCTTTCAAGTTCACTTTAAATATAACCAAAGACATTCATATCATGACACTGGCAGACACTCCAAAATCAAAGTTTCTGTTTTCAAATATTTGTTGAAATGAACTTTTGAAGCCAAAATGGAGCTATAACATCTTGCTGTAGCTTAAAAAAAATCAAGCCCACTCCCTTTCAAATTCTTAAGCTTCATATCTAATTAAACAAAGATCATTTTCTGTTCTTCCCCTGTTGAGTGGTATAAGATAACAATGTTCTTCTCTTTGTGCTTTGTTGAATACGTGAAGAAGTATTTCTACTAAATGGTTATAAGAATAATGCAGAGCTTGTGACTTTCTCTGCCTGTGTGAAGATGCCTCTATCCCCAAGTCCTATGCATTGAGGAAAACTTTACTATGAGTTTAAGACATGACAAATTCTAGGTGAAATATGTACTGAACATAGACAAAACATGATGAATTTTTTGTTGTTATCATGCATTTTCAAAATAGGATCATCTGTTAAACTGGCATCTGCGTGTGTGCACGGGAGGACTACCCTCCATTACATTTTGGGGCTAACTTGTTTGGCTGCGGCTCAAGCCACTCTATAGTGGAATCAGTGATCTGAGCACTATTGAAGCTTTGCTTTGCCTTCCATTGTGACATCTGAGGCTAGCAACAGTACTATGCAAATAATGCAAGCTTCGAGTGTCGTAATGATTTCTTTTTGAAAAGGAGGATATTCACAATTATAGCACCAGTCTATTTAATTCATTATCTCAGTATCTAAATGTTGCAGAAGACTTTCCTTTCAGGTTAGTGTGGAAACACTCTAGTCTGTGTTGCAAAATGCTTAGCAGCCACCTGAAAGAGGTTACAATCTAATTTGAAGGAAAATGCAGAAAATGAGCTAAGAAATAGTAAGAAGTAATGCCGGGTCAATCTGTGTGAAGTCCTGTGCCTAAAGGTGTTCAAAATAATTTGAAAGTTTTGTTTTATTTTAAACTAAAATCAGCATGACTAGTGGAGGGCTGTTTGTCTCGCTGCTTAATTCAAACTTGTATATTAGCTGGGAAGGAAAAAAGCAGAACTGAAAGAAGGCAAGTGTGGATGTGGGTTCTGTCTTACACAGAAGAGGTCTGAGCTTTTTACAGTTATTTCTGAATGCCTCAGTTATTTGATGTATGCTGCTTCACAGGTTTCCTCAAAAGATGTTTGGTAACAGCATATCAGCTAATGAAGGTAGGCTAGAGCTGGTAGGTTAAAGGAACAGGCTTGTGGTGGGAGAGAAGTACGGCTAAAAGGGGTTTGCCTGAGGACTTGTAGAAATGTTGATTCAATTCTAAAAATAAGGATGAAAAGGTTGTGTTAGCAGAATTGGATGGGAAGAGTTTTAAAATGTCCTATATGAAGAACCTGCACCTGGCATTAATCCCCTCAGATGGAAAGGGCCTGAGAAGAGGCACACCAGTGTATAACGCAGTGGCATCTAAGCTATGTATTATCTAGGATCATATGACCTTGTCATGCTACCTGTAGTTGGTGCCTTGATACTGTGCTAGTTGATGTGCTTGAAATGTGTACGTACCTGTTCATGTGGCAATATACACACTAAATAATATGATTACTTGTAATGGTGTCTGCCACCTACTGTGGGGGTAATGAACTCCCAGGACGTTTGCTGCAGTGGCCCCTCTAATACAGGTTTAAGTAGATTCATCATATCATCTTTGAAAGTAATAAGAAATATCTGTCTGGTTACGCTGCAGTATCTCCACACCTTGGGGTATGATGGCTGTATTGCATTGGGAGTGCCTTGCTGGTAGTAAAACACTTCCATGCTCTTGTATGTCCTACTGCCATCCTTAGATGGCTTAAATAACTCTGCTTTGTCATGGCAAAACATCAAAATGATGTTAGCTCTTTGGATTCAAGGATGGCTAGAAAAAGGGGGGATGGTGCAACTGCATGCTTTTGATTTGTCAAAACTCTATTCTTTCTTGTCCTAAGAAGTCATTCAGGAAAAGATTTTAATTGGAAACAGTTCCTGAAAAACATTTGTACTTTCTGGTGCAAGTGAGAATCCTTTGAGATCTCTTTGACTAAATTAGCTTTAAGTGAGTTTTCACAGCAGAGAGGTTCACCCCCTGCGGTTTTTCCTTTTGTATTGGGTAATCTAGTTTTGAGAAGCGCCTGTGTGATTTATTAGCCTTTAACGTATGGCTGATATAATTAGGGCAGGTATCCCTCTGCTCCTCTCTCAAGATTTATAACACAGTCTGTTATTCACTCACTCTACAGCTCTGCCAGAGCTGCGTTTAGTCTGAGAGTGAGAGCATCCTTTCCCAGAGTGAGAGAGAAAATGCTCAGTCTGCCGATAGAAAGCAGCTACTAGAGAACTGCTGTGAGACACTGGAGACGTCTTCCTGAAGGAATTCCTCTTTTGTTCCTGCAGCTTTCAGGCTTCAATTAATAACCTTTCCTGGCTATTTAGTGCACTCCTGAACAGTGACAGACGTTGGGCTGCTCAACTTCATTTACTCTCTGCACAGGCAGAGCTGAGCAGTACTGGTTAGAAGAATCTGTGAATGCTGTTATTTTTTTGCATTTGTTTTGTGGGGTTATTTTGGGAGAGAAACTTATGCTAGATCAACCTCCTTTGCCTTTGAAACGTATAAAGCCCGTGGCTTGGAAAAGCAGTCCTGGAAGAGAGCATGCTCAGAAAGCTGGCAAATCATTGTCCGGTGACCGGGAGGAAATGATAGTTGCTCTTCATTTATAATGCAAATTCTGAGGTGTCTTCAGAAGTGTGGCAAACTTAAAATGATGGCTGTGGTGAGAACATCTCTGCAGAAAGTTGTGGTGTTATTGCATCGTTTACAGAGGATGGCAGTTTCTTCTCCCCGTTACCAGAAGCTGTGTAAGGTAAGCAATACAAGCCCCAAATCTTGAGTGTCTAATGCTAACTCTGTTGTGTTTCTGAGATAAAATGAAAAGAAAGTCAGCTTAGATACTTTTGACACACATCCCATTCTTTTTAGTGTATTTTTAAAGCCTGCCATGTTCACA